CACAGCCGGTGTTGATGGGGGAATCCCTCCTGTGTAGCCATTGTGTTCTCCCGGCCGAGGTGGGGGCGGAGGGGATGGGTGTTACAGGTTATAATAGCCTCCAGTAAAATCGGACAGGCTGGTTGTGCCCAAGTTGATCGATTGATCAACTTGGGTACATTCAGCCTGCCAATACATGGTTATACTCGGAATCTCAGCTGATCCCTGCTGAATGTTGATGATCTGAAAAATCCGATTGTGCATAAACTTCTTTTTTTATAAACATTTTCCCTTGAATGTAATTAGGTATTCTTTCCAAAGTGATTCGTCATTGCCTTCACTAAACATGGTAAAGATTATCGTTCTACTTTTGTTAATCACTGCCATTGGGAATTTGTCAAGCATTTAGAGAATTTTCGCATCTGATGCCCATACTAATCAGCCTCGTTGTTTCCAATCTTTGGTTTAGTAGTCAGTATTATTCTAAAGATTTATATTCTGTTATACTACAGGAGATCTCTGGCTCTGCTTTAACATGACATGACCTCATTTACATTTGATTTCTCTGTACAGCCATTCCTCGTCGATGGATATAAATTCGATCTCCGGATATATGTGCTTGTGACCTCTTGTGAACCTCTGCGCATTTTCATCTACAAAGAAGGGTTGGCACGTTTTGCAACAATGTCTTACACAGAGCCTAGTCACAGCAACCTGGTAAAGAGCCTTGTAACATTAATCAGAGCAGAATATAAAACAAAACAACAGTATCTGCTTTTAAGCTGACCACAATCTCATCCTCATATCTTCAAACAACTGTTTATACTATCCTTAATGATTGTCTCACAGTTGTATCACATACTAGTGTGGAAAGGCACAAACACAGCATGGCTTCCAATGACCCCAAATGATCTTAAAGAGACCCTGTCAACTTTAAAAATTGAAGTTTCTTTTCCATAAATCATTTATTTTCTTGCAACGTGCCCTTGCACTTGCTTGAACATCTGGCTATTCAATTCCTAAAGAACAGCCCCACTATCCTTTCATATCATAACCCTTTCCTCTTCTGAGAGTATCTAATCACTGTATGTGCTGGCCCGGCTCCTCCACCCCACCCCATCTACGCCCTGGCTGCTGGAGGAGGGGCGAAGGGAAATACTATAGAGCACAAGTGTCAAACACATGGCCCGTGTCCCTTATCCGGCCATCCAGGCCATTTCATGTGCTCCTTGCATCTCCCCTGCAGGTACCCCCTTGTCTCTGCCCCCACCTTGTCTCAGTAGTCTGCAGCACAGAGGAGAATAGAACTCCTCTGCCAAATCCTGCACCTCTCAGTGCAGCAGCAGCACCCTCTCATCTCTGCCTCCCCTGGTCTCATCATTCAGCAGACTCTGGTAACTGACTCTACTCCTGCTCTGGTCCTACTGCAGACCCTGCACTTTCTGCTTTCTAGCTCTGTCCCCAAAGGGGGTGCAAAGTGATGTTAGGGGGGTGTGGGATTCTTGCTGTCTGATGTAATGGGGGGTGGGGTGCTCTGGGCATCTAGTCTTACAGATACAACTGGCCCTTTGAGGACAACCATAATGCTGATACAGCCCGCAATGAAATGGAATTTGACACCCCTTCTATAGAGCAAACTTTTCCAACCTGTTTAATAAACCGGAACCCTTGAAATAGATTTCCATTTTCAAAAATTACCTCCTTATAATTACTATATCTACAGCTCATGGTACATCTGCACAATGGTCATTGGGAAGAATGCTTCTTACATTTGTGATCAGTGGGAAGAATTCCTCTTTAAAGCGGAGCTTCACCCAAAAGGGGAAGTTCTGCTTTAAGGACTGCTCCCCCGCTCCTCATTAAGGATTGGCACCTTTGGGGGGAGCGTGTACCCGAATTTGACAGGTACCTGCTCCCACTTTTTGCCTAGGCGATCGGAAACAGAAGGTGTCCTCCTTCCCTCCCTCCCTGTAGTCTTTTGGGACATGTGACAGGTCCCAGAAGACTACAGGACCATTCATGAAACGCAGCACTACTCACGCATGCGCAGTGGGTACCCGGCTGTGAAGCCGGAAGCTATCACAGCCGGGTGCCCACACTGAAGATGCCGGCCTCCTGGAATACAAGACGGTCAGTGAAACTGGCTGCGGGGGACACACCACGACGGGACTGGGGGACAGGTAAGTGGCTGTTTTTTAAAAGTTAGCAGCTACAGTTTTTGTAGCTGCTGACTCTTACTTTTTGACAGAGTGAGCGGAACTTCGCTGTAAAAGATAGTTAAAAAGATTATTGTTTTCACTGGTTACTTGCCCATTGCACAAAGAACTCCTAACAACCTCTGGAGGAACTCAAGTTGAGAAAGGCTGCTATAGAGTGTTTCTTGAGTGACAACTCTAAGGCCTCTTTCACACAAAGGATCCTCCATTCACCCCTATGGAGCAGCGGGTGTAAACGGACTTGTGTCTACCTCCAATCCAATAAGGTCTGCTAAAAAAAAATGGAAGGGGATCAGTCCCCCTCCCTCTAGGCAGATCAGATCAAAGGGCGGTCAGGTGTAATTGCACAGTGGAGTCCATTTACACCTGACCACCCACAGAGCAGAGTGGGCTCTGTCCATGTCCCCTCTGTGTAAACTGAGTGGACACAAATCTGTCATCCATCCGCTCTGTCCCCCTCCCTCTAGGCAGATCAGATCAGAGGGTAGTCAGGTGTAATTGCACAGCGGAGTCCATTTACACCTGACCACCCACAGAGCAGAGTGGGCTCTGTCCATGTCTGCGTAAACTGAGTGGACACGAATCTGTCATCCACCTGCTCTGCTCTGTGAGCAGATTCCCTGCTGATCGGAACTGAACTTAATGTGAAGGTTCCCCAAGTCTGCTGGGGCAGCTAACATCATATCCAAGATAGTAGCACCCAGCAGCAGACTTAGGACTTTTGCAAGCCTACACAAGGAAGGTTTTTACATGTACATATCTTGTATAAAAAAATGTTAAATGCACATACAGTATAATGATATAATAAGATTTTTGTTGAAATTAATGGTCTTGTGACAAGGCCTCTTTATTGGAAACAAGCTAAAATAATCTGGGTATTATATTTAAACAGCACTGTTAGGGCAATGTCAAGCAAGGAGCTGCAAATCTGTGTTTTTACTGCCCTCACCGACCACCCACTGAAATCCTGACACCTGGACAGCTGCAAATCTGTGTTTTTACTGCCCTCACCGACCACCCACTGAAATCCTGACACCTGGACAGTGTAGTACACATGTTACGGTTATAAAAAAATGTAATTGGGCTTGCAGAGTTTGACAGGTGGCACTGCCTGTCAGTTTTGGCCACTGGGGTCAATAGGACCACACTGCACACTCATGATTGCAGCACAGTACCCCCCTTGGGATGTAAAGAAAAAGACAAAACAAAAATCACAGGTATTCAGGAGGCAGCAGAATCACCTCCTGAATGCCTGGCAGCTGCTGCTCTACCCCTCTGCAAAGCCCATGTTAAAGAGCCCTTATTAAAATGTTATTTAAATGTTTTTATTTAGAATAAAGTTCTTTATCTGAAGTTGATTCAGTAGAATGAAACTTGGGCAGCAAAAAACAAATTCTTAAAGAAATTTTTTTTTGGGCCGCGCAGTGGGGCTGTGTCTGCACTGCACGGGTTACCTGCTCATTTTGTTCCGGGGGGGAGGGAGGACAGCAGAGAAATGTACCTGACCCGTTGATCTCGTACAAGACTAGTCCTTCACCCCCCCACGGTCCAGCAATCTTGTAAATGGACTATTCCTGATGTCAGCATGCTCCATAGACAGAAACAGTCCACCTTTGGACAGTGGGGAAGTGCGGTCTTCTGGAGGATGGGCGGGTCAGGTTAGTATGAGCTTTGTGCTCACCCCTAGAAAAAATGAGCAGTTGACCCATGCAGTGAGGGCACAGACCCACTGCATGATGAAATAACATTTTTGCCCAGAGTTCTGCTTTACATTTTGTTTCATGTTTAAGCTGAATTCCAGGTATGGCAGTTTTACATTGGCTCAGCTTTGACCACTATAAGTGTGCATGTGACATACCTGTGGGCTCTCGGTGCAAGTGGGAAGTCCCTCTAGGGGGAGGGGGTTGCCCACTGAGCACTGGCACCATTCAGAGAACATTTTGCATTTTCTTAATGATTGCAAAGTGTTCTTTGAATGGACAAGGTGAAGATTGTGACAAAACTGCCCTGTCTATCCACCTCATCCAATCAGTGGATGCTTTGTACTCAGGGGCGGACTGACCATTTGGAAACTCGGGCACTGCCCGAGGGCCCGGGGTCAGTAGGGGGCCCTGTGAGATTCCCCTGGTACCTTTTTCATGGGCTTTTTTGAGTTTGGGCAAGGACACAGGGGCCCCATGATCCCCTATTGCCCGGGGGCCCCATGAGTTGTCAGTCTGCCCCTGTTTGTACTCACTAAGAAAATGGAAAGTGTTCCCTGAATGTTCCCCGTGCTGAGCGAGCAACCTCCTGTGTTCACAATTCAGCAGAGCAGCTGCTTGGCATTGGACCTGGAAGCAAGTGGAGATCACTGTAGTAGCAGTGCATTATAGGTATGGCACATACTGCACATGCTTACATGGACTAAGCTACACAAATGTAACGCTGCAGAAATTGCCATACAGGGAACTCAACTTTAAAGCTGAACTCCAAGCAGATATAAAATCAATAAGTGCACTTTTATTAAAAAAAATAATAATAATTTTATTGCAAATAAGTAAACATATAAATTTGAATTCCTTTCAGTCCCTGTAATCCCCTGCGCAGCAGCAGTCATATTGGGGAAGGAAGGACAACACAGGTCATTGGGAATCCTGCATGAAAAATTAACCTTTTCGTAAAAGTATAAAAATGTTTTGCCAGGCATGCTTAATAGAAGGCCAAATGCTTTAAAGGTATTGGAGTAAATAGTAGTCAAGAAAACTATAATTTGACATCTTTGAAGCTGAACTCCAGATGCTGTCTCCTCCTTTGAGCATATTACTTGTTATTGAACTTTTTTTTTTTTTTTGCCTAGTCAAATGTATAGCACTGTAATGGCCATTATCTTCAGAATTATGCTTTCAGGCTGCTTATAACAAATGAAGTAAATTATTAATATCATTTTAACAGGATGATGTCTGTATGCACCTAACCAATTATGCAATCAACAAGCACAGTGATAATTTTATACGGGATGATATGACAGGCAGCAAAAGGTGGGTATCATGACAATAATACACAAGATACACACAAACTAGTAATTATTATTTAAATTCACTAAAAATAGATTTAATCAACCAGAAAATGTTTGCATGCAATATAAAAAATAGAGCTTGGTTAATTTTCTATCCTGTAGAGGAGAAAACCAGTATAGCATTAAAAGACTCATCCTCACACCCAGTTGGACAATGCATATAGGATGGTCTGAGTGAGCACCTCTGCATGCAGTTTCTCCCGGGCATAGTCTGTGAAATTATACCCCATACACTTGGTGGGCATGGACATGAGTACTCGATGTTTTGCTAAATGCACTTTGAGCACTGCACTTTACTTTTACTTTCTTGTACTAAATTCAGAAGTGACTTAGGGAGCAATACCAAAGGAATTTGACAGCAAAATCATAGTTGGTTTGGGTGGTTGGCCTAAAAATGTGAGCTATGAAACCAATGACTTGATTTCCTAAAGAAGCTCCACTTAAAGTGTTACTAAACCCACAACAGTAAAATCAGTCTGTATATGCAGTACAGCATGTTGATATACTCACTGCGAAACCTAAGGGGTTAATCCTCTGCATTGTGTAAAAATGCTGTTTGATCCTGACTTCTCTGATCCTCCCTTTCTTCCAGTGCTCCCCTCTTATCTTCTGATAAGACATATCGTATGGAGACACTCTGCACATGCTCAGTTTGGTGTGTATTGCTAGAGAGGTTTTTTTTTTTTCTTGGGAGAGTGCATGTGATCAGCACAGGACCAATCAACACTGTTCAGACAGAGGTCAGGGGTTCTGCATCCTCATAGAGCACAAAGAAAACTCCTCCTACAAGCTTTTTAACCAGTGCTCTGCTGACAACTGATATAAGTCACAAGACTACTCTAACTGCTGATGAGAAAAGATATTTATCAGTTCGTATTTACTAAAATAATTGTATGTTCTGTGTACTGTGGGAGGCCAGATATAGAGATATAGAGAATGCAGGGTCCGGGGTTTAGTAACATTTTAAGTTCATTTTAACAGAGCACAACACACCTTTGTACAGGGATGGTTTTACTAGTAAGCTTTAGCCTGTAGGTAGCATTTCCTTGTACTGTATAGATATCAATCACCCAAATTTTCACCCTATGAAGCACAGTCATCCTAAATCAGCTTATTTATACATTATTATAATATTCTTGGTCAGGCTACAACCATCCAATAAATTGAACAAGAAACAGCAAAATATTCTGTGTAAAAGAAGGTGATCCTAGCACAGGGGTGTTGCTTTTAATGGCAAAGTATGCGTGCCGAAAGGCTCCAGGAATGAAAATGTAGATTGACTGTGCTTATTGAGCCATCAATCTCAGTACACTTTGGGGGCAGATTTGCTAAAACTGGTGCACTCAGAATCTGGTTGTGCATGGTAGCCAATCAGCTTCCTACTTTAGCTTGTTCAATTCAAGGAGAAGTACAGTCAAAGCTCTCCTGTGGATCACAGGAGTGTAGTTGATTCTGCACTTCTGCGACCCGTTTTCAGCTTACACTGGGCTAAAGCCCGCTGTTGGCTGAGGTCACAGAGCTGGTCTAGGCTGGGGAAAGATCACGACCATATGGTCGGGATCCACCCAGGAGTCTGGACCAGTACTTGGCTCAGTGATCCGCTGAGAGCCTGAGCCAGCCGCTCCCTCCCCCTCCACAGGGGAAGGGAGCCAGAGCAGACAGCGGTGACTGACAGTCACCGCTCTCTGCTCAGAGCAGTGGGGAGAACTGAGCAATCAGTGGGGTCTGATCTCTCAGTTCTCAGCCTTAGACCTGCATCCACCTAGGTAAGTATGATTTTGAAAAGTAAACATATTCCCATACTTTGACAATAAAACCTGGAAGCTGATTAGTTTCTCTGCAGAGCTGCACCATGCAGTTTTAGTGAATAACCCCATTTATCTCCACCAGGAATTGTGAAGGGATCTCAGGCATCAGAAATGCATGTCAAACTCTATTTTTGAAGCCTATGTTTCCAGGCCTTAATGTTTTTAACTTTCCTCTCAAAATAGGAAACTCTCAACACTATGGAGATGGCTGGAAAAAAATAAATATGACACGAATAAACTTTGGGAGGATATTGAAGACGTCATTATCAAGACTCTAATTTCTGCACATCCTATTTTGAAGCACAACTATCGTACTTGCTTCTCAAACCATATTGCTGGCAGTGCATGCTTTGAGATTCTTGGCTTTGACATTCTCCTGGATAAAAAGTTGAAGCCCTGGCTGCTAGAGGTAAAAGAGTGCATGTGTATGTGATGGGATATTATTAGTAGTATTGCCTGTAATGAATAACAATAGTTAAACCAGCCATAGACGAATCTCAGCCAGTTTAGCCCATGGGCATGTACAGGCAGGCTGAATGTACCCAAGTTGATTGATCAACCAGCCTATCGGATTTTGCTTCTGATTATTGCTAGCGGCTATTATAGCCGCTAGCAATAATCACTTTTCTTCCGGCAGGGACAGCTCCCCCTTCCCCCCCCCCCCCGTGCCGGGAGAACACAATGGCTCAGTAAGAGGGATTTCTCCCATCAACACCGACTGTGTTGATGGGGGAATCAAGTGATTTTCTTTGGGTTGCAGGAAAGAAAATCACACCATCTATGGCTGGCTTTAGACAAATTGTCTGCAGTTTCTCCCGCTGTCCCCTTCATCTCTGCTGATCAAGGCTCTTGTTGCTTAATATGGCTACCCTACTTCTCAGGGAGCCAACATTGTACCAATACAGTACTCTGATCAAAGTGACCACTGGGACCCAGAGAACACATCTGGTTGGCAGCTTGCAAAGACCAGAAAGGGACCTGTGCAAATTTAGTTTCAAAATCCTTTGGATGCTTTTTGTTATTGCTTCGAATTCTTCACCTAGGTATCAGTCCTCTTAGTGTAGTGCATCACCTAACCAATAACCAGTTGCCTAATGCTTTTCAGTCCTTAGATAAGGTGGCCACATTAGTTTTCCCTTTTTAGCTTTTTTCATGTACTTTCACCTTTGATCCTGCCAGTAACATGCTTCCTGTGCTAGAATGACAACACTCACTCTGTGTACTGTATATATGGAGGAGTAGCATTGTCACCGTAGACTGTTTTCCTGATTTGGCCCCCAAACACCTGCCTTTCTCCTCACCTTTTTTACATAAGGGGAGGTGTTTTGTATTTCTTCTTTTGTTCTTAGGTATACATATAAATAAAAAGACATCTTTTTAAAAACCTTTTCCCACTTCTTTATTATAATAAATGTAGCCTACTATATTAGGCTGCTTTCACACTTTTGTGGGAAAGGGACATTTTTTAGAACAGTTAAACATGAATTACACGTTTTACGTGCAAGATGCACAGTGGTTTTAAATATTCTTACACTGCAATCAATAACAAAGTTTTCAGTTTACATTGACAGTGTCAGGATCGCTTTCATTGGGTTCCAGCTTTCTGAGATACTATTTTGTATACCAAACTTTTTTCTCTTGGTGTAGGTGAATCATTCACCAAGCTTCACTACTGACTCACGTCTGGATAGAGAAGTAAAGGATGCCCTTTTGATTGATACTCTTACTCTGATTAATCTTCGGGCTTGTGACAAAAAAAAGGTTATTGATGAAGACAAACGCAGGGTGAAGGAACGTTTACTTCAGCGTAATGTCCCCAAGGAGGCCAGGTGAGAATGAGTCTTCTCTGGTCAGGTTTCACACAACACTCCCACAAACCTATGGGCATCCACGACTACTTCCTACTGCCCAGGACAAATGAACACCCAATTTGTTTGGGAGTATGCCATGTACTCCTGGTTTTGAGATAAAGCAACATCATTTATAATATCCTACCTAGTGTTCCTAGTTACACTGAATCCCAAAAATGTGTATTGGTGTTCCAAGCATATCTGTTTTGAGCTCATAATTTTTTTTTATTATGAGCACACAAAACCATGATTTTTTACTGAGAATATTTTAGTCCATTTTACTTATGCCCGCTAAAGAGGTTAGTCAATTCTGCTGTTCTTAGGTATAGACTAGGATTTATAAAGCAGTAGTTGTATCAGTTCTCCATGTACTGTTCCCAATTAGGGATGTGTGGTGTGATCCTGGCAAAATTTATTTCCGCCAAAGCAGAAATTTAACTTGTTGAGTTGCTTAGGCAAACTTTACTTTTTAACATTTCCTAGAGGATGTTTAAACAAAAATAATTTAAAATATTGAGAGTAACGAGGGTCCGCTTTCTGGAATGGGAACATGTCCTGGATAGTTGAATGGAGCTTGTGTAAACCTCAGGAGTCTACTGCAACCGTAAAAACTACCAAAAAACTCCGTAATCTCAACTTCCCTATCAAATTACATAAGGATGTTGGTGTATTTAATTCCTTCTCTTTGTTTTTTGTTTATTTTTTGTAATATGAATGCCGAAGCTATATGATATTTAAGAACAAGCTACTTGCCCAATGCTGTACAAGGGCTATAAACTTTGAGCCAACACAGTTATTCTGCTAGATCACTTGGGGAAGATGCAGCATTTTACCAAAGTCCCTGATCTTCTCACCCCTTTACCTGATAACTCTAAATTCCGACTGGGGACTCAAATGAAACTCATCCTCAAGCACACTGCCCACAGACAATCCAGACATTCACCCATGATTTTATTGTGGGTGGTAAAATATAGGACAGGTCAGACTTGGAACAAAACATCCTATCCTGTCCATTACTGGACTGGATGTACTTCCAAGCTAGAAATTATATCATGAATCATAAACAAAAGAACAATTTCTTCAGACCCACATTCCAGTTTGAACGTTTTTCAAACGTTGCAACCAGACATTGCCTATCTTTACTCTCTCTTTTTACCACCACCCAGTAGATACCCATGTATTTCCTCAAATAACAATGGAAAACAGCACGTCACTTGAATTTTAAGGACTCCCAGAGGGAATAAAATATGCACCTTGACTCATGCCTGCTATTTAAGCTTAAAAGCTACTATGTAGTAGATATAGAACACCAGAAAAATGTCATCAAATCTTCCCAGGGATTTCAGACAAGTGTTGGAGAGGTTGTATTGCTGTAGGCTTTATCTCACCCATACTGTATGGTAAGAATGTCCCAAAATTGTCACCTTTTGGAAATCATTCCAGGGCATGATGGAACAGATAATGGGACAGACACCACTTCAATTCACAGCCTTGTCTTCTACATGATACCCCCAAACCTGCTTACAGCATACAAAAATCACTAACCATCCATCTGAACTAAATTAAAACTTAGCAACAATTACTTATCCCAACTATAGCTGAACAGACTATATAGCTAAATTGGAGGAAACAAAGGCAATTGCTTGAGAAACCCTTGATGACCCTTGAACACCACTAGAGGATTAACCAGTTGGCTGGCAGTGGAGACCTGACCTTATCCTCTCTCCCCCTCCCATCGCTCCATCCTCTTGACCAGGGATCCCACTTCTTTTTCTTTTCTATCCCCACATGTTTTCTTATAATCCAAGCTCTGATGAGATCCATGACACCATAGCCCTTATCTGTCTGCCTCTCAGATAAGTTCCCACTGAATTGATCTATTTAGCTATCTATAAGGGGATAATGTTTGCCAATGTCCACAAGTGTAAAGAGTATTCTTCCCAATGACCATCACACTAATGTATCATGAGTTGTAGATGTGGTACCTTTTAGCAGGGGTTCCCTGACACTGAAAAGTTATATCAAGGGTTCTGTGTTGAAAAG